GGTGCTAGGCCTTCATCAGAACAACACCACCTGCAACAGACTGCATGACCCTCATAAAATATGTACTGGAATGTGCTGGAACAGCCGCGTCAGTTAATCTGAACGAAGACATTTTTTTTGGCTGATCTCAATGTGAGAGAGAGAGAGAGAGAGGGGCGGGGGGTGGGGGGGCAGAGGACGTCTTGGGGTTGAGCGAGACATAACTGCATAGCTTCTCCAGACCAGCTGAAGCATTAGACTATGACTGCACAGGCCAGTGTTGGCTGGTGGAGCTGTCAGAGCCGTCTTTGTGTACTTTCCGGTGTAGATAAGACGTTCTCCCACAGCACCTCTCAGTTCTCTGCTGAATCCAGAGGGCACAGTGGAACCTTGCTGCTGGAGAGGCTGTGTTATTATAGTCTAATGCCTGTGTTTATTATAACTGCCCCTAATCCACTTTAAATGAACCCTCCCCCTGACGCTGTGAGCCGTCTGCACATGGGATGAACACCGACTGAGGCGGAGCGTTCTCAGCCTCACCGCAGAGAACCAATTTAACATGACTGCTGTAACGCCACACTGCCTCCGTCTTGTCTTTGTGTTGGACACTCCCAGCTGCTTTCTCTTTTTGTTGCTCTGAACTTCTCCACATTTAGAATAGTGTCACCCGTTGGTCAAACAGTTTAACATGTTTACCAGGTGGCATCATGCAGGGCATGGCGTCTGAATGACAGAAGTGTGAAGGGTGCGTTCGTCACTGGAACTGGTTTCACGTGAATTTTCGTTTCGGAATAAGGTCTAGTGTCTGATGGATGTATTCACGTGTACTGCTTCTTTATCATAAGTCGTTTTCAGACTTGAACTAGGTTTGCAGATGTTCTCCAGAGTTTTCCTTTCACATACGAGCTACGCAGAAAGAGATTGTCCAGGTCAGACAACAACAGAGACATGCAGGAGGCAGGACATGATGGATAAATTCCCCTGCAGAGTTTACACTACATCGACATATCAGCCCTTATCTCCAATATTTCTCAAATCTTGCCGTCTTCCCAAGTTCGGCTCCCCTGAGATATTTGTCTTCTTTTAGTTTTTTTACAGTTTTGTGTCCATCACATGTCAGAAACCTCATCACTGCACCTTATCCGTCACATAATCTCCTACTGTTTTCTCACACTGGCTCGTTTGGACATTATTATCTTCACTAGGGGCAGGAGAAGGTTTTGAGAATGTCCGAAGCAACTGACTTAGAAATGTGCGTTCTCTCACACAGCCCCGCCTGATCGTTTCAGGAGATTATCCGGAGTTCAGTGCATGTTTGAAAGATAGCAGTGAGGTCTACAGCTGCCTGACCGTTACTGTCTTTAACAAAGCGTTTGTGTGTGTGTGCTGCAGGAATCGTATCGACAGGTGATGAAGATGCGGCCAAAGGACTTGTGGAAGAGGCTAATGGTGAAGTTTAGAGGAGAAGAAGGGCTCGACTATGGAGGAGTGGCCAGGTAAGAGAGGAGCTTCCTCCCTGGGACACATCAAATTAGTTTTTTTGTAAATCACGTTACACACAGAGGTCTGCCCCCTAGTGGAAGAACATGAAACCACACACCTCACTCACTGTTTGTGTGGTTTCACATTCTCCATCAGTAAGTTCTGAACTCAGAATTACAACACAAAAGATCTAATTGGTTTGTCTCGGTTGTTTTTGTTTCTCCCCTGCCGTCTCCTCCCTGTGTCCGCTGGACAGGGAGTGGCTCTATCTGCTGTCACACGAGATGCTGAACCCGTACTACGGCCTGTTCCAGTACTCCCGCGATGACATCTACACGCTGCAGATAAACCCAGACTCCGCTGTCAACCCTGTGAGTCACGGTCGTCACGGACGACAGAAAAACTATCTGACGCGGTTCTAAAATTGTGATCTGAGAGGTTTTGTGTGTGTGTGTGTGTCAGATAAAGTCTGAAGGGAAACTGGACTTCAGTCCTGAACAAGCTTTGATCACTTGTGTTAAGTTTGTTTGGAAATTAAACATGTTTTGTCTCTTTGCAGGAACATTTGTCGTACTTTCACTTCGTGGGCCGTATCATGGGAATGGCCGTGTTCCATGGCCACTACATAGACGGAGGCTTCACTCTGCCCTTCTACAAGCAGCTGCTGGGTAAACCTATCACCCTGGATGACATGGAGTCTGTTGACCCCGACCTGCACAACAGCCTCGTGTGGATTCTGTACGTACAAGACTCACGTTGACAGAACTCAATAACAGCGTTAGCTCGACAGTTTCTGTGTAAATACATTTTTCTGAACCAAGAATTGAACCATTATGTTCAGTATTCATTCATCCAGTGTCTTTTATGAAATCTCTCCCATACTATCACGACAGCGCCCCCCAGGGTTCCTGAACATTTCTTACACTTGTGGTCCTTGAACATTTGTTGTCAGACCATGAGTACGTGAATATTATCAGAATGAAAAGCAACACGTTTGTTTGTCTGTTTGTTTGTTTTTTTATCGATAGCATTTGTACAAAATTCAATTGTTGCATCTTGATTCCAATTGTTTCCTCTTGCCTCAGGGACAATGACATCACAGGTGTGCTGGACCACACCTTCTGCGTAGAACACAACGCCTATGGCGAGATCATCCAGCATGAGCTCAAGCCCAACGGTAAGAGTATCCCCGTCACCCAGGACACCAAGAAGGAGTACGTGCGGCTCTATGTCAACTGGCGTTTCCTGCGAGGCATCGAGGCCCAGTTCCTGGCTCTGCAGAAGGGCTTCAATGAGGTCATCCCGCAACACCTGCTCAAGGCTTTTGACGAGAAGGAGCTTGAGGTATTTAAATGTCTCCATGTTATAATTCTTCATTTTCCTGCGAATACATTTAATTCAACGTATTGAAAAAAAACGATTTCTCCGTCTGTAGCTGATTGTATGTGGCCTGGGTAAGATCGACATCAACGACTGGAAGTCCAACACGCGGCTCAAGCACTGCACTCCGGACACTAACATCGTGAAGTGGTTCTGGAAAGCTGTGGAGTCGTTCGACGAGGAGCGCCGAGCTCGGCTGCTGCAGTTCGTCACTGGCTCCTCTCGAGTCCCTCTACAGGGCTTCAAGGCCCTTCAAGGTAATAAGTCAACTTCATTGTCAAGTCTGCGAAATGTACGCTGTAAGTATGCAACAAATTAAGTACTCAAAACAGAGTACTCAAAACAGAGTACACAGTACCACGTAGTATGCAGTCATAAGCCACACGTGGACAGGATAAGAGCGGTGCAAATCAAAATAGAGCAAAAATACAAGGTCACTGTTGTGTAATGTCTTTTTTTTTTTCTACAGTGGATTTAAATGGCAGAAAGTCTCAGGCGTGTCCTCTGATTAAAATGTCTTGGTGTGAATTACCTTCTGTATAAAAACTGAACCAGACTGAGGCAGGTGATTATGAAAGTTGTGTCTGATCCTAAATTCAAATTTAATGCTAGATCATTATTTCAGGAGTGAGGTAGCGTAGTCTTTACTGTCTGTTACACACAGCGTGTTCAATGTTCACAAGCTCTGTCAACACAATCTGGGTTGTGTGTTTGGGATTCTCTGCCTCTGTGTGTGTGTGTGTGTGTGTGTGTCTGTGTCTCTGGGTTTCTGCGACCTGGGATGAACCTTGAGTCTGAGCGTAGTGCTGTGGTTCATCAGGTCCGTCCTGGCAGACGGTGCTGCCCAGAGACAGAGCACCCAGGCATGAGGAGTACACCGTGATCCACAGGCAGACAGCACCCTCACACACCTTTTATATAACACGGTCATCCTGTCTCGGTCAAAACATCAGCAGAGGCCGAAAAACAAACTCACTCACTAACTTCCAGTGTCTGCAACTCTGTGGAAACAAGACCACAGCTGAGGGACACTTATTTTAATGAGCACTGTTAGTTTCCAGACACTGTACAGTTTCACCTCGTCAGGTTTACTGAGGATTGTGGGACATTTGCGTTCTCACGTACAGCGTAATGTCCTAAAATCCTTTCTCTGTTTTTATTGTGGACTTTAAGCAGAACTAATCTTTTATGTTAAACTGTGGAAGTGTCTGAATCTACACGTGTGTGTGTGAACATGAGTTTTACTGAACCGATGTTCTCTACAGGTGCTGCTGGTCCACGGCTCTTCACCATCCACCAGATTGACGCCAGCACGAACAACCTGCCCAAAGCCCACACCTGGTGAGCAGACGGTCTCCGTTATCCTCTGGTCACATGACGCAGGGCCTTCTTTTGAAGCATTCGTGACCCTCTTTGCACGGCGACACCGTGATTTTTAAAAAAAAAATCTGCTCTCTGCTTCTGTTTCCTCAGTTTCAACAGGATTGACATTCCTCCGTACGAGCACTACGACAAACTGTACGACAAGTTGCTCACTGCCATCGAGGAGACGTGCGGCTTCGCCGTAGAGTGAGTCGCCGATGCAGACGGAGCTCTGCAACGACGAGGAGCAACGCGGTTTTGGCCGTGATCACCCCTCCCTCCCTCCCTCCCTCCCTCCCTCCCCCCCTCCACTGCCCCCTTCCTCCAGCAAACCAATCCGCTCGGTTGCGGGAGGGGTCCTCCACGGTTGCTTCACCCAGGGACGCACACACACACACACACACACCTCCCCGGGGCACGTGTGGCCGAGCCGATGGAGGGTGGGAAGCAAAGACCAGAAAATGTCATCTGACTGTTCCTTCCTTTTATGTCATTTTTGTTTTTATCATTGAAAGGATCTCTTCAGCTGCTAATAACTCAAGACTATTTACTAACTTGTGGAACCTGCAGAAAAATTTGCCGGCTCTTCCCTTTTTTTCTAAATCTCATTTTAGCATTTAAAAAAAAAATAGACTGTATCTATGTAGCAATGCTCCATTTTACCAAGCGGAACACAAGGCTCGGTGCACTCCGAAACAACATTGACAAGACTGGTTTGTTTCTAGAGTACAGGGTTATTACTGGTTACCACAACCACTTGGAAACACTATATTTGGATGTGGAGTGTGCATGACTCGGACTGTTTGGTGCCTCGCAGCGATCACGCTGGAGCCATCAGTGACGCCAAGGCTGGGAAAACATGGACGAGAAGGCAAGACTGGAGACTGAATTAGTAAGAGCCCGACTGTTTACAACCCTCTCCAAAGACAGCAGCCGGGACCTGTGCTCCCGAGACGCTGCCCGACAACAAGCGCTGCATTCCCAGAAACACCTATTTCACACGTTTGACAGCTAGTTTTGTTTGAAAATGAATTAATGAATGCATAGCTTGAAATGTGTTATTTTTATATAACAGGGAAAATTGAAAAAGAAAACAATAAAAT